AGGATGGAGGAGCAGCCACCATAGACTGAGTCCCAATACCAGTGGGCAGTCTGATTTGTATGGAACCCATCAGGGGTAAACATGAAGAAAACCAACAGCATGAAAGAGAGGTACCAGATGAGGAAGTATTGTGAATATCCCAGAAGAAACAGAAAAGAACACTTAAAATTTGAAGCTATTTTCTCAAGGAGATTAAGTTACAGTATTCATAAACTAGCATCTTCATGCTTCTATGTAAAATGTTAATCAGAGCACAAGAAAAAGGGTTCTTATAAAATAAAAAATGTTATTGCCAAAATAAGAAACTCATTTAAAGAGCTGAATAGCAGAATGGGCACAAATGAAGACCAAATTATTGATGGGAAGACCAGATCATGCAATCTTATCAAAGCACTAAAGAGAAATGTAAAAATACGGAAATTATAAGAATCAAGACGAGATGTGGAGGATTAAGGCACAAGAACTAATATGTGCCTAATATATGTTCAGAAGGAGAGTAGACAAGGAAATGAACAAAGCAAACAGTAGAAGAAAATTTCCCTGAGCTAAGGAAAGATTTGATCATTAAAAAAGGAACCCCAGGTGTGAAATGGGAAAATCAAGAGGAAGTAACTAGGCTTTTGCTGCTGAAATGCTTAACCACGTTCCTTTTGAGGTCCATGATGATTCTAATAAATATAGCTTCGAAAGAGGAGGAACTACTTAGAATCTATTCTGCCTGCTAAATGTGCATACACAATTTCTACATGGAATATTTTTTAAATGTCTCCCAGATTTCTTCAAATAAGGCATCCATCCATTTTATTCTTCTTTTGCCAACATCTGATGCAGGGTAATACAGCTGGTGGAGAATCACTTGGTATTTGCTAGTTAACTAAGAAACACTAACAGGCTATTTTGTGCTTATGAGAAAAGCTAAAAACAGTGCTTTTCTTTAAGGTAGAGTGTTTTAGAGAGTAAATTATAACCCACCCTGAGCTTCCACAAATGGAAAGATATCTTCAAAATAAAATATGTTAAGTCAATTATATTTAAGCGATAATTTTACAGCCACACGTTCCTTCAATACTTCAAAGTCCTCACTTCACAGGAACCTAATTCCTTCCTGGACACTTGCAAAGTTCCATCCAAAATTTACTAAGCTGATAAAGAAAAGTACACACACACACACACACACACACACACACACACACACATAGAGAACATATATACACAAATAAACCTACTGACTCTGTGAGTCATTCTCCTAATTTATTGCTTTAAAATATCCTTTCTTGATGTTTTACTGAAGTTTTCATGTTAAAATTTGGTTTTATCTTATTGCCTAAGGGCTGGGGAAAATGGAACGAGAACAACGGCAATAAATAACAGCCTTAGCGATGGAGATTTTGATGGCTGTTATTATGAGGTGGGAAGCCCCATAGAAAGACTAGCAGGATCCCCAGGCAGGGCCACTACTCTCCTGCCAGCACCATCCAGTTCCCTGGCCCAGAGGCTCTAGCTCACTTTTTGCCCCTGAAACGGCTTGCTTACCCCTAAAATTCTATTGGTTCCCTGAGCTCACTCCTGATTGGTCCATTTCCCTCACTCGTGATTGGTTATTTCTCTCCTTCCTGATTGGTCCATTTCTACAAAGCTTGTTCCTAATTAGCCAACTTTCATTATACCTCATTTGTATATGATGTTGCAAAGTGTAAACTGGCGGCCTATAAAAGCCTGTGTAAACTTGCAGACGGGGTCCAGAGCTTGGAGTGTTAACTCCTCTGGGCCTGCTGGCATAATAAACCTGAGTTCTCCAACCCTCCGAGTGCTGCTTGGTCTCTCACCTGGATCCAGGTTACTGTCACAACCGAGCTGTAACACCGAGCTATATAGCATTGAGCTGTAACACATTTTTTCTGCAACATTTCCAGAGGTTGCTGTTGTTGTTTTAAGGAAATTAAATTTGCCCCCAAGTATTCTCTTTAACAAAACATTCTTATGATAAATATGTTTCAATATCCCAAAGGAATTAACAAAAACTAGTCAGGGACAGAAACACTGATTGCTACCACTGCGCTCCCTGGTAAACCGTAAGCTTTCCAAAAAAATGAAACTTAATAATTACAGTCCAGAGACTGACTCACCATATTTTGCACAGGAAGGGCAGGGCAGAAAAAGAAAAACTGAAATTCAAATTTGCCCAATCAGCTATTCTGGACGAAGGTGACTGGATTAAGGGAACTTTCCTTTTCAGAAACAGTCTGCAGTCTCACAGTCCAGATTTGTTGTTTTATATATTCCTGATTTACTCTGATAGCTCATATTCACAAGCCATCCCTTCTAGCAGGACCTGTTGTTGCTGAGATAAAGAGAAATATTTGTCCATTGTATTCTACTTGCTGTTGGACCAGCCTTTCATAGTATTACAAAAGCCACAGCCATTAAAAACAAACAAACAAAAGAAAACCTTGCTGACTCATTCCCACTGGGAATAAAGAGGGATTAAATTTCATTCAGGTGTTAGTATGATTGACCGATTGACAGCACTGGGTTTGCATTAATTCATTCAACAAGAATTTATTGAGTACCTACTATGCATGAGACCTTAGATATAGTGATCGGCGGGTAGATCAGTCCTCTTCCTAAACAGAACTTCCCAATCCAATAAGGGACATAAAGAGCGAAATTCTGTGCCCCCTGGGAACACGCGGGTGGGAAAACTGACCTAAACTCAGGATGTTTTGAGGCCTCCTAGATGTAACCTCTACACTTAGACAGGAGTTTCTCAACTTCGACATCATTAACGTTTTAGACCGATTAATTCATTGTTGTAGGGGGCTGTCCTGCACATTGTAGGATGTTCAGCAGCATCCTGGATCCTACTCACTAGATGCCACAATTTGGTGAGTGTCTCCAGACGTTGCCAGTGTCCCTTGGGGGACAAACTCTTCTCTGACTAAGAATCACTGACTTAGGTGGAAGATGAGAAGAAAGCTGTGGAGTGAGGGGAGAAGAAAGGAGTATGGGGTGCAGAGAAGACACGAGAAGTGAGAAGGAATCATTGGTAGATCCCTAAAGCATGAAGATCTTGGGTGGAGGAGAGATCCAAGCCCAATGTGAGAATGAGGAGCTGACTCAGGTCAGATCCGAAGAGCCCGTGTGAGGTCTATTAACAGGTTGGAGTTTGTATTAATTATCTAGTACTGTGTAATCAATTATCCTCGAGACTTTTAAAACAACAAACCTTTATTAGCAGTTTCTTAGGGTCAGGGATCTGGAGCAGCTTCGCTGGGAGGCTGTGGCTTAGGGTCTCTCAGGAGGCTTCAGTTCCTCCTGACGTGGGCCTTCATGGGGCTGCCCTCTGCATTGCTCCCCTCCAGACAGTGATGGAAGATCAAATTTGCATTTGAAAACAACCTGGCCTCTACTTAGAGCTAGGAGCACAAAGCAACTGGAAGTCATCAGTTGTTTTTGATTAGAGAGGTGCTGGTCCGTCTACTACTTATCACTGAAGATCCTGGATAGTTAGAAAGTGACTCTAATTACAGAGGGCTTCAGTCTTTCAATTGGTTACCATCGCATAAAAGCACAAAGTAATTAAGCAAGAAAATAACTGAACTAACTTGTCTCCTGAATTCAGTAGTGGCAAAATCTGAGAGCCCCGAGAAGTTAAATGACGTCGCTTCCATTAAAGCTCGTCAGACTTGATAAAGCTCATTGTCACTTTATTTTTTTTCTATAATGAGATGGTTGAAGCCATCACAGCCCATTCTTCATGTTCATGTAAAAGTGGCCTTGGGAGTCTCTAAATACCTAAAGAATTATTATATTGTAAAGAAAAACCTCAGATTAGTTATTTGATTCATTGCTCGTTAAATTTACCTGTGTCCTTCCACATGGGGTTCCCTGCTGACCACCTCCCCATCTCCAGCCTTGCCCTAACCTGTGCATAGTTCCAGATTATAACCAGGGCATCACCCCCACCAATCCATGGGGGTTTCCCACTAACCCTTCCCTTGACCCAGTCGCCAGAGCCTCAACACTCTTTCTCCTCAGGCTGTAGCCAAGAAAAGCAAACCGCTTAACCTCTTCTCCCAGAGACACTGCCTGCCACAAGAAAGAGAGCCTTTTGCATTTTTTACGCAAAGCCATTTAGTTTCTCTTTGTTCCAAACTCTCCCTTCTGTAACAGGATCGGGGTTGAACTGTAAGGATAGAGGAGATTCCCTCCAAAATTGAAATGCAATCCTCCCCGAAGAATTCTGCCACTACATCTGGAACAAGCTCAGATTTTAAATAGTGATTGACTATAAACAAAAAGGCTTGGACAAGCTGTATTGAAGCTTCACTTGGGCAATAGCAGGGAAGAAGGCAGTAGATCCCAGAAGCCAGGCAGTGTGGTCCAGGAACCAGAGATGTGTGTATACAGAAAAGTGCAGTTTAGGAACAAACAAGGGAACACCTGAGAATAGTGTGATTAATGCTCAGTGACCTTCTAGGTTCTTAATCTCAAGCTGTCAGGAAGTTCAGGTTGGCATAATTGTCCCTTGACAATGGTGGCCAGCAGGGGTGAAAAGAAAAATGATAGTGTACCTTAAATACTTACTGTACATGCCACATTTTACTTAACCAACCCACTATTTTGGGGCATTTGATATTTTCCAGTTTTTAATCTTGTAAGTCAGTCTATGAATTTTATTTTATTTTTTTTGCTGATTTTTTCCCATACATCCATGTCTATTTCCTTGGAATACATTTGCAGAAGTAGAATGCCTAGATAAAAGAATGTGAATGTTTTTTCTGATTTTATTGTATGGCATCTAGGCACAAGATGCAAGCCTCGTTTTGCCTTCAATGTACTTTTCCGGTGTCTGTCAGGAATCATTTGATCATTACTCCATACTTCCTAACTTTACTTAGGTCTTCATTTACTGGCAAGTTACACCAAACTCATTACAGAGGAAGTTGAAGTAAGTATAGCTGGGAGATGTTGAAATGGGGGAAATTTTCGGGTTAAAACAAAGTGAAAAAAATGGGTTTGAGAGAAGGATATAAAGACAGTCACGTAGAAACCAAACTCCACAATCCACTCCTGAGACAAAGCTCCACTTCAGAACAACATGATGCTCAAGGTATTGTTTCCTTTTGTTTAAATTGGTCTTCCAGCTTTCCTTTTCCTCCCCATTTCCTCAGCTGCTCTCTCCTCTCAAGAGCTACCTGCTTCTACTTCAAAAATGGTGTGGTGACATTTCTCATAGCTCTGGGTGGTCTGATTAACTGCATCTTGTTTTTCCATCAGTGTTTTACCAAGAAAAGACATGGTTCTCTGCCATAAAATTAGGAAGAAAATGAATCATTGTAAGTTCATTGAATTTTAACCTTCTCCTTTGGCACGTATCCATTATGACACTGCCAGACCGTATTTCTAATTCTCTGTTTACTGTCCTTAGGGCCCTGGAGAAGATAAACTTTTTGTGGCAGAAACATAACATCTTGTTTTGGTATTCTAGAGAGCTTAGCACAGGGCCAGACACATAGCAAGAACTCGTGAAACATTTGTTAAATAATTGCATGTTTTGCCTTAATTTATACATTAATCATAGTATTTTACTAAGAACAGATGTAAATGCCAGGAGAAAATCAAGAAGACCAAAAGGTATTTTAGAAATAGATGGGCAGAAGGCTAAAGACAGCTGAGCAGCTGCATGTTTATTTCCTCCTGTTTCCTTCCTCAGGGGCCAGAAAGGCTGTCTGTCCTTTGGCACACAGGGTGGTGTTCAGGACTTGTGAGGGGATCTGGTGGCCCCAACTTTCATCATCACTAGCACCAGGGGACTGTGTGGATGTATGCCCCTAGCATCTCCCACCAACACCTGCTTCCAGGCATACACGTTTCCCCATAAGGCACTCCAGTGTCAGATTGACCTGAAGAGATGAATAATCAATCACTAAGTACCCTCAAACTTGGGAATTGTGGGGCTGGGAAGAGAGGTCGAAAAGAGGCAGTTTTACTTATAAGAAGGGACCGAACCAGTGCTTGAATTTCTAAGTTTTACTTGGTGGATCATCAAGACAGTTCTTTTCCCTCCTTCCCTGCTCTGTCCCTAAATATGTTTATCCAAATTTCTAGCAGCATGAAAATCAAAGTTATTGTTATTCTCCACCCTAACCTGACTCCTATCCCAGCTCCTTTATCTTCTCTCCTGCTTTCTCCCTCTCTGCCTTCCCCTCATCATTCTACTAAAGCTTCAGAGACATCAGAAGTAGCGCATTGTTTTGAAAATGGTAACGTTTCCCTGATCTGGTAATCTAGAAACTGAAAATATGGGACTAATCACTGGCCACATTGGAGGACTTTCAGCTGGGAACCTGTCCCATCTTTGTACCTCTGCCCCGGCACCAAGCTTAGCGTCAGAAAGCCCCAGACACCCCAGATCCTCTATCCAATAACCCCCCATCCTATAGCTCATGTTTTAAAATGAGGTATCTGATGCTCAGAGAGACGAAGAAATTACACAATGACACAATAATCAGAGCAGGGAAGGGAAACGACCTAAAGTTGACTAGGCAGTACTAAATGCTAGGCATATAGTGAACCATTACTTAAGAGAGGGTATTTTTAACTATCCATAACAGACACACTCTTACAAAGACACGCAGAAAACAAAGTAGCTGCCTGTGCATTGAAGAACTTGATATTTAAAGGGACTGCAAAGTACTCTGCTGCTTACGAAGTAAGATAATCCTGCAGGTTTTTACTATCGGGTTTGTGGGTAGAAGCCAAAGGTCTTCTCCACTAGGATGGCCACATGCACTTCATACTCAACTCGTTCACAATGAGCCCAGCATCGTTGCCCAGAAGTCTGCTATTCTTCCTGTGTTCCCTCTCATGGCAGTGGCACTGCGCTTTCCCCATCCAGAGACATCCAGAGTTGTCGTGGTCTCTTACCAACCTTGTCTACCCTTCTCCATCCATTCTCAACACCAGTACCTACAGAGATTTTTGAAAACACAGTTCTGATCATATCTCTTCCTTTCTTAAGACAGCACTATGGCTCCCCACTGATGTCACAGTCTTTGGCATAATGTAAACTTCAACATTCAGTCCTAGGCTGTAAATCCACTCTCCCTGTCACCTCTGTCCCTTGCATAGGGACACTCTGCTACCTCTGCCTTTAACCTTCATCCTCATCCTCAGCACCTTCACCTGGCTGATTCCCATAAGTTTTCATAACTAGCTCAGGAGTCAATGACTCCAGGAAGCCTTCACCAACAGAAAGAGCCCATAGTGGTTCTTAAGTGTAATTTTAATTGTTTTAGTAGCCATATGATGAAATGAATTTTAACAATAAATTTTATTTAACTAATATACCCCAAACGTTATCATTCAGCCATGTAATAATATTTTAAAATTATTAAGATACTTCATATTCCTTTTTTTCCTACTAAGTCTTTAAGCCCAGTGTTTCTTCTCCCTGATGACACATCTCACTCTGGACTAGTCACACTTCTGATGCTCCAACACCACATGTGGAGAGTGACACATTGGCCATGACATCCTAGAGCGCTGAAGACTCACCTCGAGGGCTTAATGGAAACTGAGAACCCAGTGCTATGTTTCCAAACGTTCTAGCTCTGCAGAGGGTCTAATCCTGGAGGTCTGGGGTAGAGAAATGTTCATTTTCAGCAAGAACTCCAGGTTTCTAACATACGTGTTCCTCAGACCACACCTCAGGAAATGGGGGCTTAGGAGCTAGACACACTGATTTTGGAGTTAGACCTACAAGGGTTTGTGTCCAGACTCAACTCAGTTTCAGCTGTGTTGGTCTCGGTCTCCTTACCCACAAAGTGAGACTCATGATAGCTACCTAGAGACCTGTGGATACTAAGCAGATACTACATTTAAAACATTCAGGTCAGCACCTAGCATGTACCTTATGACATAGCTGTCTGAATGCGCCCACCACCCAGGCACGCCCACCTGATGGGCGAGACGCCCTCCCTTCGTCCCCCTCTGACTCTCTGTGCTCGCCCCAGCAGAGCCCACCACACTCTGTGGCTTGCTACTCTGCGTCCTCAACCGGACTGAGAACAGAAGCTGGCTACTGTGCGTTTCCACATCCTTCTGCCTCACATCTGTGTGCAGTACACATCAGTTGTTTAGGAATTGAACTGAATTTGACCAACTGGGTTTCCTGGAGGGGAGTAAACCTTTTACATAAAAGCACCTCATGTTCTCATGTAGAAAGGAAGTGTGTGAATACAGAGGGAGTGGAGCCCTGTTCTAACATCCTTCCCTTTGAAGTCTGTCACAGCAAGCTTTGCCAAAGTGATTCATGGCTTGAAAGTGGGACACCTGACCGATCACGTCATTCAGAGGAGCAAGAGGATGATTCTGGATACTCTGGGCGTTGGGTTCCTGGGAACCAACACAGAAGTGTTTCACAAAGCCCATGAATACAGTAAAGTAAGAAACTCAATGTCTACCAAGTGCACACACATGCCAACCCACATGTATACCCAGAGACATGTGTTTGTGTTCTGCTGCTCTACTTTTTAAAATTAATTATTTATACTGAAGTACAGTCGGTTTACAATATTGTGTTAATTTCTGTGTACAGCACAGTGATTCAGTTATACATATATGTATTAGTGCTTTACTTTTAATTTTAGAGGCAGTGCTTGGTGTATATAGCACTGTTTTATATAGTTTTATGTTTTTTTATGTCTGATTACCTGAGTCTTAATATTTATTCATATCTTTTTCTAAGTCACTATCTCAAAACCAGTCTTAATCTTAAGACTAGTAATATCCCAAAGTTGATTACTATTATGACCAAAAGCATGTTTACCTGAGGGTCTTAGCCGCAATAGTACCTACCCCAGACCATTTGTTCATGCAGAGTTTGAGACTCTCTGGAGGAAAGGCTGAGCCCTCAGTCTGAGCAGAGAGTGGGCGTTTACGTGGGAGAGGCAGTATCCATCTCTGCAAAGAATATGCTTGGTATAGACGATTAGTCCACTCTCTTTAGTGCTCACCCTCAAGGAGTAAATAAGAGTAAATTCAGACTCATTCCCTGGAGCACTTATGGATCACGGTCTGGAATAGCATCCCCTCTCCTGTCCATAGAGAAAGTTGTATATTCTTCAAGGAATAGAGAAATCCACTGATTAGGGCTTCAGTCTAGCACAGAGGGTTCAAATAAGGAGTATTAAAGTAACACCTCCAAAGGCGAAGAACAACTCTTGCCATGGTGACTTGGTGTGTTGGGTTCACACTCTGCATCCCTGACCGTTATTCTTTTGTTCCAGGTCTACACTTCCAGTGTATCCAGCACTGTTTGGGGTCGGCCAGGCTTCGGGCTCCCACCAGCATATGCTGCTTTCGTTAATGGTGTGGCTGTAAGTAGGTTTCTATGTCTTTTCAACTGTTCTACAGTCATAATAATTTCAGGGATGGAAAATATCTCAGAATTGCCCAATTTCAATATTTTACTGATGAGACCACTGAAGTTCAGAGAGGTGAAGTGGCCTGCCCTCTCTCCCACGTAGTGATTTCAGTTTTCATGTTTTTACAGTGAATTGATGCTTTTCAAACAAATTGCAAAGCAGAGAAAATAAGATGGAGTATTTAGATAAAAACACCCCTAAGGTATCTCGACTCTAAATTAAATCTCCAGACTCAATTCCTTCTGTTGTGGTCAGTACCAGTTTCTAGCCAATAACCAGCCTTTCATTCATTCATTCACTCAACAGGTATTTATTGAGAAAGAAACAATGACTATATGGTGTCTATATTTTCTGAACCAAAAATCAGCACTTCTGACAGGCAATTTTTATGCATTTTCTGTGTGCCAGGGGCAGTCTACAAGATGTAATTTGTAAACGAACATGTTGGGATTTCTGAGATTTTTTTTGGTTTATGGGGACAGTAGCTCAGAATGCTGAAAGTCAAACCTAATGGTGCATCTGGAAGTAAATGCCCAGAAAGCAGGGAGAAAGGCACCAGCCACAACCAGTAGACATAAAAATCTATTTTTAAATGAACTTCCAGTTATTACTATTTCATATAAGGAAAAAGCAAATGGCTGGGATGAAGAGAAATAAAACCTTATAGCAGAAAATAACAATTTCAAAATATAGTTTAATAGTTAATCTGGGTTCAAGAGTTCTTGCAACTTCATAAGTTTGAAGTTATGTCATAATAAAAGTGTACAAAAATATGGTCTGATATGGAATAAATGACGTTAAACTTTTAATGTGACTTGTTTGAAGGGTAAGTGAGGGAGGGAGGGAGGAGCAGCCACCTAATTCTGCAGCTTTGTAAGGGGGATACAGATCTGTTCAAGGGCTGTGGTAACTCAGACCCAAGCTTCTTGGGGTTCACTAGCTGCTCCCCAACGTCCTGTCCTGCCTGATCTGACCAGAGGACAGCATGTCTAGTGCCCAGCCATGTGATTAAGAATCACAGCCAGTTCATAGGTTTAATTTTCAGAGGATCAGATCTAAAACTCTCACATCAAACATAGTTATTACTGAATGAAACCCTTATTGGTCCAAAAGCCATTGCATTCAGGGAAATACACTTTGGTTTTGCTTGTTGTTTGTGTGTCTGTTTACACAGATTCACTCAATGGATTTTGATGACACGTGGTACCCTGCCACTCACCCTTCTGGACCTGTCCTTCCTGTCCTCATGGCTTTATCAGAAGCCCTGCCTCCAAGTCCAAAGTGTTCTGGCCTTGACCTGCTGTTGGCTTTCAATGTTGGAATTGAAGTGCAAGGCCGATTAATGCATTTCTCCAAGGAAGCCAATGACATACCAAAGAGGTAGGGAGAAAATGTGCCCTGTCGCCAGGCGGCCACATCCCCCTTCATCTGTTAGTCATTATCTCTGTAGAGCTTTCTGACATAGAGGTTGGCTCAGTTGAAGATGTTAACGTTAGTGCTGGCAGATGAGCCAACTCACCAGTCACATATCAAACTATATATCCATATACAAACACATGACTTCAGAAGGGCTAGTGAAAAATCTCCCCTGGGTTTAGAGAGCCAGTCAAGCAACCAGGACCGTGAACTAAACTGGGGGGTCTCATCCCACCAGGTCATTCTGGTCTCTGTGGGTATTCTGAATACCCCTCATCTCATCTCAAAGCAGACTCTACTTCGATATTTGCTCAGGTCCTTCAGACTAATAAGACTATTCAGAATATCCTATACCCAGCTTTTCAACCTCTGGATCAAAACTGGTTGGTCAAATGCCGGCTGTATCATATGATTCAATCTAATATTTATTTTGCCTCTTGGTCCAGTATTGAAATACTGAGTGAACTTTCACAGTTTCTACAAGGCCCTCAATTTTTAGTTACTTACAAATGCTTCCAGCAATAAATCAGCAACTTTTGCCTTTCTGGCAATAATTGTAACCATACCATTTATAAATAATTTACTGTGTGTCAGGCACTATTGTGAATGAGTGAATGTGTGCAAAACTCATAAAACTCTGAGGTAGATACTATTATTAAAATCATTTTATATGAGAAAACAAGTACTGGGAAATTGAGTAACTTTTCCAAGATCACACAGCTAATAAGAAGAGCCAAGATTTGAACCCAGGCAGCAGGGCAGCTTTATCTAAGCTGCTGACCACTACACTATCCTGCCCACCTGGTGGCTGAGGTTGGTAAATCTCCAACTCTGCTCTTGCTTTACAGATTCCATCCCCCCTCAGTGGTGGGAACTCTGGGGAGTGCTGCTGCTGCATCTAAGTTTTTGGGGCTCAGCGTGACGGAGTGCCAAGAGGCCCTGGCTATTGCTGTTTCTCATGCTGGGGCACCCATGGCAAATGCCGCCACTCAGACCAAGCCCCTTCATATTGGCAATGCTGCTAGGCATGGGATAGAAGCTGTTTTCCTGGCAATGCTGGGTCTCCAGGGAAACAAGCAGGTCTTGGACATGGAGACAGGGTTTGGGGCCTTCTATGCCAACTATTCCCCAAAAGTCCTTCCAGACCTAGATTCATATACTTGGTTGCTGGACCAGCAGGATGTGGCCTTCAAGGTTTTCCCTGCGCATCTGGCCACCCACTGGGTGGCAGACGCAGCTGCATCTGTGAGAAGACACCTTGTGACAGACAGAATCCTGCTTCCCATTGACTGCATTGAGAGAATTGTGCTTAGAATTCCAGATGTCCAGTATGTGAATAGGCCCTTCCCAGACTCAGAGCACGAAGCCCGCCACTCCTTCCAGTATGTGGCCTGTGCCACGCTGCTTGATGGTGCCATCACTGTCCCATCGTTCCACAAATGCCAGATCAACAGGCCACAGGTGAGAGAGCTGCTGGGTAAGGTGGAGCTGGAGCACCCTCGAGACAACCTCCCAAACTTCAACACACTGTACTGCGAGGTAAGTGTCGTCCTCAAGGATGGAGCCATCTTCACAGAGCGCTGTGATACCTTCTACGGTCACTGGAGGAAGCCTCTGAGCCAGAAGGACCTACAGGAAAAGTTCAGAGCCAATGCCTCCAGGATGCTGTCCTGCTACACAGTAGAAAGGCTTATAGAGCTAGTAGAAAACCTAGAAGTCGTAGAAGACTGTTCTGTGCTGACTGCTCTTCTGAAAGAACCCTCTCCACCAGAAGTGGCTTCGAAATCTATCTAGCATTTAACAATTCCATCATACAATCTCTCCTGAGGCTTACCAACATCTAAATGACTTTTTACATTGGGGGAAATTCAATGCTTTGCTTTACAGAGCAAGGGTCTGTTCTTGGTCTGCTCAGGAATAAATGCAGCATGCTGAAGAGAGTCCAGACACAGAATCAGATATATGTGGAAGGAGTCTTGTCCTGTAACTTCTGCAACACAGTTCCAGTTACTTATAGCAAGATAATACAGACACAAGAAACGCAGAGAAATTAATTTTATAAGCATTCATAAGGCTGAAATTCAAGTCCCCTGTGATTTGCTTAATCTTTACAGATGAGTTATTCATGAATCTCCCGAAGAATTTGAACTTCTACGTATACTTGCTGATAGTGGAGAAGGGTTCTGGTCTGTTGTGCCACCAACAGATCTCTTAGACCATGGGTTCACAGTGGAGGGAATGCTACTGGGTTTAAAATAACAGCATTGTGGGTTCAAGTTCTGTCTCTGCTACTGACTAGATGTGACCCTGGGCATGCTTCTGGGTATCCCCTTATCTCAGTTTCTCTATTTTAAAGCATAAATTTAAAAAGAGTCTTTAAAATAGCAGTTTGGCTGTAGAAGCCATGCTCTTAATCACTATAATATACAACCTTGCATTAAAAAATTTTTTTGAGGCAAATATCATGGATGTAGAGTCTAAGATGTAATAAAGAATGACAGCCAAAACATAGTATATATGTGGGTAATCAAATAAATATTAAACTGTGTAAAATAATAAAAATGCCTTCTGCGGTTAAAAATTGCAATATCAGCATTACCTATGTGTATATATAATATATATATATAAAGGCAGAGAGTTATCATCATTAATGTGTTCTAAATTCCTCGTGTTGTTCAAGAAAAGGGCAAAGCTATTAGCTCTAGATTTTGACTTGTAAGTATGTATGTTGACATTTCCAGGCTGACTATTGTAAAACAGCAGTAGAACGTATCAGGTTAACAGAGGGAACGATGCGGAATTAGGGAAAAAATGATCCAAAGACAGGCAAGAAAGGAGAGGGAAAAAGAAATATAGGAAAGGCAGTATAGACAGAAAGCACAATATAAAATGACAGAAAAAATCCAACTGGATCTATAATTACAAAGAGAGTAAATGGACTAAATGCTCCATTTAAAAAAGACAAAGACTATGAACACATTTTGAAATGTTTATTTTATTAACATCTACTTTACACATCATCAATTCATCCATTTTTAAGTGTACAGTTTAATGAGTTTTAGTAAATTTACAGAGTTATGCAAATATCACCACCATCCCGTTTTGGAATACGTCTATCACTGCCAAACATTTCTCAGGCCTGCTTGCAATCAATACCCACTCCCACCTCCAGTCCTCAGCAGCCAGCAATCTGCTTTCTATCTTTATAGTTTTGTCTTTTCCACACACTTCATATAATAGAATCATGCAATGTGTAGTCTTCTGTGTCGGGCTCTTTCATTTAGCATAATAGTTTTAAGATGTTTCCACATATGTATCAGTACTTTATTCCCTTTCATTGCTGAGTCGCATTCCATGAAATGGATATACCACATTTTGTTCACCCATTCATTAGTTAAAGAGCAGCTGGACTGCTTCCAGTTTGGGGCTATTGTGAATAATGCTTCTGTGAACGTTCACAAACACATCTTTCTGTGGACACGTCTTTCCATTTCTCCTGGGTAGATTCCTAGGAGTAGGAATGCTGGGACATTTTAATAAGTACATGTTTAACTTTATTAAAAACTGTTTTCCAAAGTAGCTCTATCATGTTACATTTCTACCAGCAATGTGAGATGATTCCCATTTCTCATTATCCTCACCAACTCTTAGAATTCTCAGTCTTTTTAATTTCAGCCAGTCGAGTGAGTGTATAATGGTATCTCATTAGAGTTTTCATTTGCATTTCCCTAATGACTAATTCTTGCCCATTTCTGCCTATTATTTTAATTAGATTGTCTTCTCATTGAGTTGTAAGAGTTCATTTTACATTCTGGCCATAAGTTCTTTAACAGATATATTCTTTACAAATATTATCTCTCAGTCTGTGGCTTGTCTTTTTATGTTTTTAATGATCTCTTTGGAGAGCAGAAGTTTTAAATTTTGACCAAGTCCATTTTTCACCATTTAAAAAACAAATTTTTATTCCTACTTTTGGTGTTATTAGAAGGCATTTAAAAAATTCAGTTATATACTTTATTCAAGACACGTAAGGGTGCAGAAAAGTTTAAAGTAAAACAAGGTGGGGGAATGTGGATGGAATATTAACAAAAGAAAGCTAGAATAAATAAATGTCAATATTAAACATAAAAGAATTTAAGCAAAAAAGCATTACTTGAAAAGAAGATATTAAATTCAAATCACCAGGTAACTAAACTAATTCTAAACCTATATGCATCTAAATACTATTAGGCTGCAAGGAGAAACAGATAAATCCAACACCATACTGAGAGAATTTTAACATTTCCCCCTTAGTAATTTATATTTCAAGAAAACCAAAACCAAATAGATTATATAAGATTAAATACAATCAACAAATCTTATTTGATGGACATACAGAAAACTCAACAAGAGAAACTACAATCTTCTAAAAACCTTACAGAACATTTAAAAAAATGGATCCTATACTTAGGCATAAAGCAAGTCTCAAGTTTTCAATGCACTGGATTATCCAGATCATTTTGTCTAATCACAATTCAATCAAGTTAAAAGTCGATGCAAAAAAAGATAATTAGAAAAGCCTGAAGTGTTTAGAAATAAACATTCCTCTAAATAACTCTTGGGTCCCAGAAGAAGTTGTAGTGAAAATTATAAAACATTTAGAACTAACCAATAATAAAAATACCACACATCAAAATTTGTAGACTATGGCAAAAGCAGTACCTAGAAATGTGCAGAATTTTCTGTTGCTGGCTCTGTATTACCTAGATTATGCTGTTCCATAGGACACATCATGTTAACACTGATGAAGTTTAAGGTCGATAAAAGAGGAGACAGAAGAGGTGGTTTCTATTGTGACGTTGAGATTAAATTTAATTATCCTGCCTTGATACATTTCAGAAGTTTCTATGGGCAAGATCTGAAGGCCATTAATAATATCCTCAGACATCCCCTGTTAAAAATAAGACAGTAGACTCAAAATGGACTTGCTTATGCTAAGCTCATATCCACCAAATCAAGACTTTACTGAATTAGAGTTTTGACTCTTCCAGAAGTGGAATCTTAAACGAATCCATCAGGAATCTCTGATCAGCACTAGTTAGGTAATCTGCCTGACAGACCCCTGCCACCCTCTAAAGACAAGTAACCTTGCAAGAACCAATCCACTTTTTCGCCTAATGTAATTTCCTTGGTCTGGCTCCCTTCTGCCTATAAAAGTCTTTCATTTTGTACAGCTCCTTGGAGACCTTTTCTATGTGCTAGATGGGGTGCTGCGTGATTCAAATCGATTTTTGCTCAACTAAACTCTGAAAAAATTTAGTATGACTTAGTTTCTTAACACCCCTGATGGTTGCTTTGGACCAACAGCAGTGGTTGGTAAAGACATTCTCTCCTGAGGGGGACAACAGGTGACCTTGACACTGGCTATTGTGCCCACTGGGTTAACTGAAGGCAGGAGAAAATATGGGGGAATATGGGTCTGCAGAGGGAGCTGAAGGGCTCTCTTTGCTGACAGCCCTGAGCATCATCCACCCACAACTTACCACATACAAAAAAATAGAGAAGGAGCGTGAGGAAGAGATTGGCTTCCCACATTCTTTCCTAGATGATTTCTTCCTCTAAGGGTCGAAAGCTAGGGCACTTGTGAGCCACAGAGCTAGGGGGGCCTCTGGATGGAATGGGAGAGTGGAAGCTGAGCCCCCTGTCTCTTCTTTCCATGAGGCTGGGCAACTAGGACTGCCTGAGAGCCACCTGACCCTGAGAAAGCCCAAGACGGGGCTCCGGCACCTCTGGTCTGATGTCTAGGCGCTGCGGCAAATGCTTGCTTTGCCCCTTCCCTTTCCTCGGGGACAGCAATGAAGACGCAGCTCAGCCCACTGTTAAGGTGACAGGCCCAGTGTGCAGGCAAATGAGGCCTCCACACGGATCAGGCCAGACCACCAGGGAGAAAACCCACTGGGAGACGGGGACAAAGGCTCTACCCACAGGGAGAGGTTAATTCCAGCCCCCTCTGTATTTCTGCAACCTGAGCACACATCCACAGCCTTGAGCCAAAATGCCTGAGTGATCAGACACACCTTTGCCAGCTCTGAGGGGCCCTAGTGCTAGTCTATGTTTGGGGGATCTCAAGACCATGTACGCTTTCAGGTGTGTACCAAAAGAACTCAGAGAATATGTGAATTTAAAAGGAATTTTTATATAGTATATTTTGTAACAACTTTACTTGGAATTCCTGTCTAAAAAAGATATCATAGATAGATAAGTCCCCTAAGAAAACTGGGGCCACCATAAGGTCCATGACAGTTTATGCAGGGGAACCTCTTTGGGGATGAAGAGTAAATGGGAGGAGTCAATTCAATTCAACAAATGTGTACTGAAGGCTTAATAGGTGCCAGAAGATGTTCTTGGTGCAGGTGGCACAGCAGTGAACAAAACAGGCAAGAACTCTTACAACCATGAGCTTACAATGTAGAGTGAGTAGAGAGACAAGCCAAAGAAGTGAAGAGGACAAAGGAAGTGATCCGCACCTCTTCTGGGCCAGCTGTGCTTCCTTCATTCCTCCCTGGTGGGGATGTGAGCTTCTGGAGGCTGAGCTGGGCTCAGGGACCAGGGAGCCCAGTGCATGCAAACTCTCCTAAGTGGAATCCATAGCTTCCAGTTCTTCCTGGAAGAATATGACCTGTGACAAGACAGGGCCTGTGGAACTGCAGAAATGCAGCTTCCCTGTCAATTCTGGCAGGATTTCCCTCCACAAAGCACAGCTACAGGAAACTGAGGGTAGGAGCAAAGTCACAACAAAATGCAGCGCCTTCCCCCAGCAGAGGTGCACACATGTGTGCAGGCACAGACGTGTGTGCATGCACACATGGTGGCACCCTACCCAACAGTGTGAAACCTCTCTGCAGCACTGCAGTAATTACTCGTTAGTGAAATTTCTCCACTGTTGCTCTTCTCTCTTACCCTACATGTAAAAAAAAAAATAGCATAGTGATAGTTCACAGAAAGCAATCATTCAAGAGACTTTCAAAGCAGGAGAGTGTTTCAGAAGCCGCTGCTCTGGCTTCTGATAAAACCCTGGGCGCCCAGCAGTTGACAGCTGCAGAACACATCAAAAGAATGTGTGATGCTTACAGTGTCATGGCTTTATCTGAACCGCACAGAAAAGAATAAATACCTTTGCAGAAATTTTGAAAATTTAGACTTAGTCACCTAGTTCAGCTGTTAATGCAGATATCAACACTCAGATATCCTCGTCGTCTCACTTCAAAAAATTTCCCTGCTTTTTGTTGGAATTATTGCTAAAAACAAGTCAACCCACCCCAGTTACAGTTGGTGCCCATGCAGAAGTGAAGCTGGAGGTTCAGGAAAAAGCCTTTGGAATAGCCCGATGCCCATCTGTTTGAAACATGGCATGAGAGTGTAGTTTCTGACTTTAGAAAATGAAAAATAAAAAAATAAATAAATGAAAAATAAAAACAACAACGTGCTTGTCTAGAAACCATGGATATCTGAATAATTCAATGGTGAGTATTTCATCTT